CTTTGTTTAGAGAGTTCTCGTAGCTTTATTGACTTCCCAGGAAACATTTTCCCCTCTCCTCAAGCATGTAAGCTCCATTACATCTACAATTTTTTTCAGCTGCGATAGAGAGGATAATTAGGTATTGATACTACAGAAAAGTACAAGAGGCAGTTTTATCCTCCGTGTGTTTAATCTGCATCATTTTGCTGCTTACTTTGATCTTAATTTAGTGAACACTATTTACATCTTTCAATTTGCTTTTATTAAAAGCAATCTAAATTCTTCCACTTCATGAAATGAATCTTTGAATTTTAATTTCTTGCATTTTCTTTTAGATTAGTAGCAAGTGGGCTCCGCAACACATTTTTTTCAGGGCACTGCATTCCTATTCAGGATTCCAGTCGGCCAACTCCTTTCCAGAATACTGAGTTATGTTTTTCCATGACCATCTCCCATGACATTCTTGGGGTTTCTCCTTAAATGTCACTTAGTATTCTTTGGCTACTTATTATATCTGCTCTTCAATACACGGTTGATGCCAGGCCTGCTTCTCACAGTGTTTAACCATAAACCTCCAGTTGCCCCCTTCGGTAAATGCTCTAAAACACCTGTTTTCATTTACTAATGTTAATTCAGCGTTTTATGCAGGGATGGAGCTGTTTTGGCTACATGAGCACTCAAAGAATACGGTATCTCTTCAGTACACGGTTGATGCCAGGCCCGCTTCTCACAGTGGTTAACCATAAACCTCCAGTTGCCCCCTTCGGTAAATGCTCTAAAACGCCTGTTTTCATTTACTAATGTTAATTCAGCGTTTTATGCAGGGATGGAGCTGTTTTGGCTACATGAGCACTCAAAGAATGAGTTCACTATTTATATTACTGATGATCATAGAACAATGAAGTTGGAAGGGGCCTATAAGGCCATCGAATCCAATCCCCTGTGTTGGAGTGCTCATCCCCTCCCAAGGTAATTGGTTTCATTTTCATACAGGTCTAGCTGTTAGGAAATTCTTCCTGTTTCCAGTTTCCTATAACTTGTTATATGTCCTGTACCTGAATGATTGAAAAGCATATCCTGCAGGTATATTTGACATAGGGCTGTCTAGCTCACCCCCTCCCAAGGTAATTGGTTTCATTTTCATACAGGTCTAGCTGTTAGGAAATTCTTCCTGTTTCCAGTTTCCTATAACTTGTTATATGTCCTGTACCTGAATGATTGAAAAACATATCCTGCATCTCCTCTGTAAGGAAACCTTTCAATTGTTTGAAGAGCACTATCATATCTCCTCATAATCTTATTTTCTCAAAGCAAAATATTACCAGTTTTTTTTTCAGTCTTTCTTCATAGAGTTTGGTTTCCAAACTTATTTTCTCAAGGCAAAACATTACCAGTTTTTTTCGTCTTTCTTCATAGGGTTTGGTTTCCAACCCTTTGATTATCCTTGTTGCCCTTCTCTAAACCTGTTCCCATTTGTCTACATCCTCCTTAAACTGTGGTGTCCAACACTGGGTATAATATTCAAAATGAGATCTAACAAGTGAGGAGAGGAACTAGTACTCATATGACTTGGAGACTGTACTTCTGTTAATGTAACCTCAAATAGCTATTGTCTTTTTGCTGCTTGACACTGTTGTGTCATATGATTTGGAGACTGTACTTCTGTTAATGTAACCTCAAATAGCTATTGTCTTTTTGCTGCTTGCATGACACTGTTGTGTCATATTCAATTTGTGATCTATAACAATTGCAAGATCTTTCTTACATGTAGTATTACTGAACCAGGTAACCCCTATCGTGCAACTGTGCATTTGGTTTCTTCAGCTATCTTTACCTCCAAGCTTGTGTCTCCCTTCCCCTTCCAATTTGGTTTAAAGCCTTCCTGTTGAGGTTCTTCATTCTGTGGCTAAGCACATCTTTCCCAGTCCTTTTGATATGCTGCCCACCATTTCCTAGCAGTCCCCCTTCCAAGAAGCATAGCCCATGATCCCAAAGTCCAAATCCCTCATGTCAGCGCCACCTTTGTAGCCAGTCATTTACCTGATCCCACCACCCTCTGTTTCTTTTGAAGAGTGAGGGGTAATGAGATTCATATCCCTAGACCTCAGGATCATTGAATGACAGTGGATTTTTTTTCATACCAAGAAGAATTTTATATCCCCTTTTCACATCAGCCGGAAACATTCCATAGGTTCAAACAATCGCAAAAATGGTTTCTCCTCCATTCCTTCCCTGCAGAAATAATATATATGTTGTTCCTATTTGATATTTTCACACTTTTTTCCTCATACATTAGAAGTTTTTGTTTCAAGCTGAGTATATTCCATGCAAGTATTATTCCATGATAGCTTCTGAGTGGTTTTTGACATTTTAAAAACTATTTCAGAATTCTGTAATGCAACATGCCATCACCAAAATCATTCTCCATAAAATGACATCCTTTGGTTTTCTGTCATTTGTTTCTCAGCAAATTCCCTGTTTGAATAGAATCAAGAAGAGACTATGTGTGACGATTGCCCCATGTCACGCCTGTCACTCATATTCCGGATCTCATTTGCATGAACCTATGAGAGAAGTGGAGGGGCGGAGTCAGGGGATATAAGAAGGTTTGGCAGAAGAGATGGAGAAGGGGGATATAGAATTTGCAGAGAGAGAGAGATAGTCAGGGTGATAGTGAGAACAGACACTAATAAAGATAAGCTAGTCAAGATAAATAGATAGAGCAGGTGGAGAATGGTTATGTGCCCAGATATATGGCATTTTAATGATTTGACTGTATGCATTGAATAAAGAACATCTGTGATTCTGATTAAATTTAATACATTTCAATAAATAAGTTCTGTTGGCAGTAACCAGTCAAGTATCTGACTAAAGTTCTTTATATATTGTGGATAAAGGAAATCCACTGGTGGCAGTGAAGAAAAGAGGGAATGTCACAATTGGTATCTGCAGGTGGGATGGCATAGCGTGAGCCCTTTGTTTGGTGAAACAAGCAGGGGCCACGTGGTAAACATCACACTGTGGTATCTAATTTTTTCCCCTAATCTGGACATGCATATTGACTAAGGGACCTCTTTAAAGAGTTGACTGTTCTAGTACTGTCAGATTTCTCCTGTTAAATGAATTATTTAAATCACTCATATTCAATAATGCATCATGTTAATTCCTGCACAGTTCACAGTTTTTGAATTTTTCAGCTGACTAGTCTTGTTTTGCTAGGGCTTTGTTTTGTTTTTTAGTAGCTCAATCTTCATGTTACAAAATGGGAGATTTCAGTAGCCCCCAGTAGTCAGAAATCTGCTTGAAGCAAATATCTCAGGATATGTCTTTAAAATTGCCTTTTTATTTATTTATTTATTTATTATTGATTGATTGATTGAACTTGTATCCCACCCATCTAGACAGTGTCTACTCTGGGTGGCTCACATCAAATAGAGTAAAAACAGTGAACATGTAACAACAATTTCACAACCATAGACAATCATTCAAGATGGAGGTAAAAGATAAATCAAGGGCATGCAGTTTTTAATCCTGGTTGTGGGCTGTTTATTTGCCACAGGCAATTGACTACTGGCTGGATAGCCCAGTGAGCGAGGTATCTGGCTACAGAGTTAGAGATTGGGAATTTGGATTCCATATTCTGACTACTGGGGGAAGAACAAGCCTGCGTAACCTTCCAGGAAAGGGAATTGTAAACCACTTCTGAGTACTCTATCTCCAAAAAACCCTGGAAGGGATAATCAGAAATGATTTGACAGCATATAATTGGTTACTAATAATTACTCTTATGTGGACATCTTCAGGTAATATTCAGACCCTGTTTTCTTGGACTGATCACTAGATGGATATGTTTTCAATTGCAATATCTGGGACATATCAAGTAATCCCCAACAGTGTTCAATCCACTGATGGGCTGCAGATCGTTTGGTCAGAACTTTCAACAATCACCAGCAACAACTATTAAAATAACGTGCTGTCTATTTAGCTTGAGCTTATGGCAGCCTTTTCAGGGTTTTCTAGGTATAGGATTGTTTATTGTTTCATCCTTCTGGGTGACGCTTTGGAACAGAGGAACTTACCCAAGACAACCCAGGCTGACTGACTGTTTGCTTGGGAGGTACAGACAGGTGCTGAACTCATTACACTTGGTTCTACAGCTAGGTATAGTAGGACACTTGTATCCTAGTAGGTTCAGTTCCCAGCCTCCACTCCATGGATGCCAAAAAAAATATACAGAAATAGCAAATGCTGTACACAGCTTAGTCTCTCTCTCCCTCTTGCTTTGAGTTTTCATAAAAACCTCATGTAAATACGTATTTCTGGGATTGTTCTTTTAATATTTTCAAACCGCAGATAAATGAAACAGTGAACACTGATCCCATGAATACAGTGATCCTACTGTACTACAATTCACCGAGCAATCTGGCCAACACTGTAGCATAAAAAATACTATTTATTTTAGAAAGATCAAATCTATCCTTTGATTTGATGGTGTCACTCTTAGTTTCCAATTTCTGCAACAAGAAGCGTTTTGGCACTTGGCAAGGTTTCCATACTGACTGGGACCAAACTAAAATTCCACCATGCCAGTAACCAGTTGTGGGGTGGGTGATCCTTTGGTGTAGATTTTGTTTCTTGTTACATGTATTGAAGTTGTATGCTTATTCTTTCCCACCATGGTTCAACCACTTCATTAACCCCACTCTGCAACATACACAGAGCACAAGGAGGCTTATAATCTCAAAAGAGGCTATATGAAGTGAGGAGAAGTGAAAAATATTTATGCATGTACTTAAAGCCAGTTGGGATCCAGAGGATTTGCATTCATTATATTATGTGTCTTTTTTATTTTTATTTTTTTAAATCCTGTTTAGCTAGAATTACATCTCCCAAGAGTCTCAGGAAGTGTCTCTATACGAAATTATATTCTTTTTTCTCCTCCCCAGGAAGAAAGGAGGCAGATAAGAAATATTTCAGGAGAAAGGATGTAATTAACAATGTATTTCTCCTTCCAACAGAACATCCTTGTGGTCACTGGATTCAACTTGGTGAAGTCCAACAATAAAAATGACAAGCACGGCTGGCACCTAGAACTATCTGATGAAGTTGATTCAAAGATTTATGTACGTTGTGTCAGTTTATTTCTCTTGGATTTGTGATTTTATTACATACAGTAGTAAAAGTACTGTATATAAAGAGGTTTGGATTGGGGGGGGGAGATATCAAATATCAACCCACCAAACCATGTTAGACACAGTTTTTCTATGGAGCAGGATTTCAAAGCAGTTTGGTATCATCTGAGGCTGCCACTCAAAGGTTGAGGAAAATCAGTGCCACTCTTTATCATATGGTAGGGCCAATGTTAGCTGTGGACTCCACACTTCGGGATGAAGTGTTCGCCCTGTTCAAACCACAAGCCATGGCAACTGCATATATGGATGTGTGTGCGCACACATATGCACAAACACATGTGCACTTATAAATATCTACATACATATACATATGGAATATAGCTAAATATATTGGATATTGCTGATGGAACTATAATTACCACTTGGTCATTATATTTAATTCAGCTACATTAATGCACATTTCATAGTGTTGTTTCCCTGTTTTTGAAGTAGAGGGAGCCTTTGCCAGATTTCTATTAATCTTAATATTGAAACGGAATTGTCCTGGGAAGTTACATATCTTCCCATGTCATATCATATATTTTTGATCTTATTGTCATATTTCTAGGATAGGAAATATGCTGTAAACCTATTTACATAGTGATGACTTAGTTTTAGAGTACAGATAAGAGCAAAGTGTTTTCTCTAGACTCGGGAGATTTCAGCTCAGTTCTTAGGATATTCTAGTAGCAAACACATGCGTCATAGCTGTCGTGGAGCACAGGTTTTGACATTTCTGTAGAATGTCAGGCTGGAAGGCGACCTAGATAAGGTAGCTGTGCAACTAGTTCTGCATCCCCAAATGAGATTTTATTTGCAGATTTGGCTTTCGTTTGTTAATATCTTCTTCATTAAACTGGTTGTTAATTTTTAAGATATAGTGGCCACTTTTCCCCCTTTCATTCATGTATTTGGTTGATGAAACTTTCCAGCACTTGATATCCATGGTGGAGCAGCTTCTCCTTTTGAATGTATAGCAATTATGACATTTTAAAAAAGACAGATACACTTCAAAAAGAGGCATAGTTACTTTTTCTTTTTTCTTGCAGCCACATTGCATTTCGATGGAGCTTCCTCTGCTGTTTATTTTTGGATTTTTTTGTGATGGGGCTTCCTGTGTGTTGGTTTTTTTTCCCAGCCCCATCGCGTTTCGATGGGGCTTGTTGTGTGATGGTTTTGTTTTGTTTTATTTTGTTTTTGTTTTTCTGCCGGAACAGATTAATGGGATTTCAGTGTATTCCTATGGGAAATGGTGCTTTGACTTATGACCATTTCGAGTTACGCCCATCTTCTGGAATGGATTATGGTCGTAAATCAAGGCACCACTGTAGAGGAAAATAATAGAAAGGGAAAAATCGGAGATTTGTTCAATAAAATTGGCGATATTAAAGGAACATTTTGTGCAAAGATGGACAACAAGGCCAGTGGAGGTGATGGCATTCCAGTGGAACTATTTAAAATCTTAAAAGATGACGCTGTTGAGGTGCTACACTTGATATGCCAGCAAGTTTGGAAAACCCAACAGTGGCCAGAGGATTGGAAAAGATCAGTCTACATCCCAATCCCAAAGAAAGGCAGTGCCAAAGAATGCTCCAATTACCGCACAATTGCACTCATTTCACACGCTAGCAAGGTTATGCTCAAAATCCTCCAAGGTAGGCTTCAGCAGTATGTGGACCGAGAACTCCCAGAAGTACAAGCTGGATTCCGAAGAGGCAGAGGCACTTGAGACCAAATTGCTAACTTGCGCTGGATTATGGAGAAAGCCAGAGAGTTCCAGAAAAACATCTACTTCTGCTTCTTTGACTATGCAAAAGCCTTTGACTGTGTGGACCACAACAAACTATGGCAAGTTCTTAAAGAAATGGGAGTGCCTGACCACCTTATCTATCTACTGAGAAACCTGTATGTGGGACAAGAAGCAACAGAACTGGATATGGAACAACTGATTGGTTCAAAATTGGGAAAGGAGTACAACAAGGCTGTATATTGTCCCCCAGCTTATTCAACTTATATGCAGAATACATCATGTGAAAGGTTGGACTGGATGAATTCCAAGCCGGAATTAAGGTTGCCAGAAGAAATATCAACAACCTCAGATATACAGATGATACCATTCTGATGGCAGAAAGTGAGGAGGAATTGAGGAACCTTGTAATGAGGGTGAAATAGTAGAGCGCAAAAAATCGTCTGAAACTCTACATTAAAAAAAAACACTAAGATCATGGCCACTGGTCCCATCACCTCCTGGCAAATAGAAGGGGAAGATATGGAGGCAGTGACAGGTTTTACTTTCTTGGGCTCCATGATCACTGCAGATGGTGACAGCAGCCACAAAGTTAAAAGACGCCTGCTTCTTGGGAGGAAAGCGATGACAAACCTAGACAGCATCTTGAAAAGCAGAGACCTCACCTTGCTGTCAAAGGTCCGCATAGTCAAAGCTATGGTTTTTCCAGTAGCAATGTATGGCAGTGAGAGCTGGACCATAAAGAAGGCTGACCGCCGAAGAATTGATGCTTTTGAATTGTGGTGCTGGAGGAGACTCTTGAGAGTCCCCTGGACTGCAAGGAGATCAAACCTATCTATTTTGAAGGAAATCAACCCTGAGTGCTCACTGGAAGGACAGATCCTGAAGCTGAGGCTCCAATACTTTGACCATCTCATGAGAAGAGAAGACTCCCTGGAAAAGACCGTGATATTGGGAAAGTGTGGAGGCAAGAGGAAAAGGGCATGACAGAGGATGAGATAGATGGACAGTGTCATTGAAGTTACCAACATGAATTTGACCAAACTCTGGGAGGCAGTGGAAGACAGGAGGGCCTGGCGTGCTCTGGTCCATGGGGTCACGAAGAGCTGGAGGGGGGTGGATGGATTTCCCTGGGCTATAACATGTATGCTAGGTATACGAATAGAAATTTTATTTCTAAAATAAAGATTACATTATTCTTAAAAATAGTTACATTTGTAGCATTGGATATTATGGCTGTCTAAAGCAGGCATTTGTAATATTCCTTGTTTGGTTCAGGGGCTGATTGTACAGAATGTTGAGATCACTTTCCGTTCTATAAGTCTGTGTTTGTATTATTTACCCTATATACTTGAATATAAGCTGACCCAAATATAAGCCAAAGCACCCAATTTTACTACAAAAAAATGGAAAACTTATTGACTCGAGTATAAACTGAGGATGGAAAATGCAGCAGCTGCTGGTAAGAGACATAGCTGACAGGAAAGAAGGGGGGTGGATGGATTTCCCTGGGCTTGTAACCAAATATGTCCTCACTGTGACCTCTGTTCAGAGTGGTCTTTGAAATACGTAATGACAAGCTGTCGGGAAAAAGTTTTCATCTACAGCTCCTTTATTTGGACATAGACTGCTATTATCCTCCCAGCACGGTGTCTTCCTGCGGAGTATGAAAAATGCAGTGTACTCAACCCAGGTCATTGGACCACCCACAGAGGCTGCAGGCACCCATAGATGAGTGGGGGAGTCCGGAGAACACCCGCACTGCAGGGGAGAGCATGTAATTTTGACACTGACTCGAGTATAAGCTGAGGGGGTGGTTTTCAGCAAAAAAAAAATAGTGCTGAAAAACTAGGCTTATACTCGAGTATATATGGTAGTTTATGTGAAAATGTCAATTAAAAGGCTTCATTTAAATTGTCTTTTGTTGGCTAATGCTGCTGGTGCTCTTTTCTTTTTCACTCCAGGTTTTTACTAGATCACCACACACAACAACTGTTTCAGAGACAGTAGCCATGGTAAGATTCAATTTTTGAGGATAGGAAGGTATTGCAGTATCAGAGCTTCAAATAGATTTAGTTTTAGATATCTTTAAGATAAAGAAAGGAATCAGCTATAGATTTCATCATCCCACATTCAGCACCTTTGGAAGGTAACCTCCATTCTGGAAGATGTAAGACAGAATGTACTTCTCTGGACATTGTGCTTCACAGTGACACTTCAATTTTTTAAACTTCTTAAATGAAATTATTTTTTCATCCTTTTAAAAAAATCATTTTCACCTCTATATAGAAGTTCACCTGGCAAGTAGCATTGCTAGATTGAGCTAAATCAAACTATAGATTTGGGGACCCTGGCCAGTCTGTTTTATTTCCTGAGCATGCTAAAATTGTTGGAGATGTTCTGTGCAAGTTTTCCAGCTGCTGTCAGGGCCAGCCAGCAGAGCAAGGTGATGACAGGAATAATCAGAATGCCTGTGGTACCTTCTGCTCATTGCTGGAAAAAAAAGCAATGTTCCTGTCCCAGCAGCCTTTCCAAAGCTGCAGATTTGTTGTAGCAGGACATGGCAAATGTCCAACTTTCCTGAGTTCATTCAAGCACTTGGCAAGGTTTCTATACTGCCTGGGACCAGACTAAAATTCCAGCATGTCAATAACCAGTGGGAGATGGGAGTGGAATCCTTTGGTGTATATTTTGTTTCTTGGCACATGTATTGAAGAAGTTGTGTGCTTTTTCATATGCTTATTGTAACTGTACAGTGGTACCTCGCTAGACGATGACCCCGTTGTATGACGAATCTACAGGATGGTGACTTTTTGCAAACGCTATAGCGACCGCAAAACAATGTTTCCAATGGGGGGTTTCCGTTTGACGACGATTAGGTCCATGCTTTGCGAACCGTTTGTTCGCAAGACGACAGTGTTTTCCGGACCCATGCTTCGCAGGGCAGCCATTTTAACAGCTGATCGGCGCTCGGAAAATGGCTTCCCTTATGGGCGATCTTCGCTGGACAATGAGGTAATTTCCTCATTGGAATGAATTAAATGGGTTTCAATGCATTCCAATGGGGAAACTGTTTTCCCTGGATAATGTTGTCACTTAACAGCGATTTCAGGGAAACGGATTATCATCGTGGTGCGGGACACCACTGTATGGTGGTGCCCCGCATGCCGACGATAATCCATTCCATTAAAATCGCTGTACAGCGAAATTGCCATGAAAAAAAAACCTCATTGGAATGCATTGAAAACTGGTTAATACGTTCCAATGGGGAAATACCTCATCATCCAGCGAAGATCTCCCGCAGAGAACCGCCTATCATCTGTTTAAAATCACTGTTTTCCAAAGCTTGTGTCTGGAAAATAGCCATTTTGCAAAGGGAGGGAAGCCATTTTACGGAGCCGGAAAATCATCGTTTTGTGAACAAGTGGTTCGCGAAGCAAGGACCTAATCAATGTAAAGCAAAAATCCCCCATAGGAAACATCATTTTCACAAAAAAGTCATCATCAAGCGATTTCGTCGTTCAGCGGGGTAAGCGTCTAATGGGGCACCACTGTATAATGTAGGGGTTTTTAAAAATGTCTTGTGCAGTTTTTGGTGTTCCCATAGGTATTGCATAAATCACACTAATCCATTATATTTGGAGTAGGCTCAATATATTCACTTATTCCTTGTTAGGAAATTATTAGCAGTTACTGATTTGAGAGTAGTGGTTTAGGTCTGATGATTGCTGCTCTTCAAAAGGGAAAGGAGTCTTTTGGTGAATGTGGGGAATCTTTGTATTCAGTTTCACATGCAGAGAGAAAATCCTTTTACTGGATTTTCATAATGGTTTGTAGAGCCTGACAATAGAGAATAGTGTGGGCAAAGCAAATTTTAAAACTAACTTTCTATCAGTACTATCTTATGATCACTTTTTCTTATGTCTTACCAGCCTGTTGCTCCCAAATATACATATACACCCCTGAATCAACTTAAAAGTGGTACTGTTGTCAATTTGTATGGTGTTGTGAAATTCTTCAAGCCTCCATATGTATCCAAAGGAACTGGTATGTATTGTTGAATATAGAAAATTAAGAGTGAATGGATGGATTTTTATGTGCACAAAGAGGGCCAATAGTTGGTTTTTGAAGAACCTAATAACATCTACTTGCTGGAATTCTTAGAAAGAATACGGGGCATTCTGATGCAAACGCCTTCCACAGTTTTTAAGGAGGTGTGCTTACTTCAGGATTGAGTGGCACAAAATTAGTTAGGAGAAGGGCCGTAGTTCCCTGGTTAAAGAGATATTCCACATGAGGGAAAAAGTCTAGTTTCAGTCACTCACATCTCAATGTGAAGTTGGAAAAGCCTGGTGTTCTTTAACCACAGACCATTGGTGGGCAATTTGCAGTTGTATTTTTATGAGTCCCTAGCTACCTTGTGGCCCCACTATCCCCAAGCCCCAATTTAAATTTGGAAAAAATATTTTGTCTCAGAAAGTCCCCTTGTACCTTATTACCTTAGTACCTTATTAGTTGGGGGGCATTTTGCTATGTTTTTGAGCATGCCAGTACCCTGCCCCCCCCCATATCACCAAAGTTGTTTTATATAGAAACTGGTTAGTGCAACACTGAGAAACTCAAGAGGGGTTTCTCTGTCTTGTATGATAGGTCTCAGTGATAATAAGTTTGATCAGGATTTGGTCATACTTCAATCGGTTGATATATTTCAGACTTTAATTTGATCATGAGTAACTAAAGTTTTATTGATTTCAGTACAGTGGTGCCTCACAAGATGAAAATAATTTGTTCCACTAGACCTGCCGTCTTGCGAAATTTTCATCTTGAGAGGCGGGTTTTCCTATAGGAATGCACTGAAATTATATTAAACTTTTTTTTAAAAAGGGGCAATTTGCAGTTGTATTTTTATGAGTCCCTAGCTACCTTGTGGCCCCACTGGGAGCTGGAGGACTGGTGGGGGTCATCTGCAACCACAGTCGCCACTTTCAGAGGTCCCCTGGGCAAGCCTTAGAGGCGGGTTTTCCTATAGGAATGCACTGAAATTTTATTAAACTTTTTTTTAAAAAGTCACTTATTAGGTAGGGAGCTGGAGGACTGGTGGGGGTCGTCTGCAACCACAGTCACCACTTTCAGAGGTCCCCTGGGCAAGCCTTCCCCAGCACCATTTTTGAACTTCCTGCCTTTTTCCCCTTCCTTTTTCCTTTCAGAGACTTGCCGAGCATCATCAGAGGCAAGCCTCTGAAAGGTGAAAGGCAGAGGAAATGGGCGGGAAGTTCAAAAATGGTGTTGGGGAAGGCTTCAAAGGCTTGCCCAGCTCCATCAGAGGACTGCTGGGGGACCTCTGAAAGCAGCGAGCACGGTTGCAGGGGACCCCCGCCAGTCCTCTGATGGTGCTTCCCCAGTTCCCTAACTAGTAAGTGACTTTTCTTTTTTTAAAAAAAAATTCCCATAGGAACGCATTAATTAAATTTCAGTGCATTCCTATGGGAAAATGTACCTCGCAAGACAAAAATATCTTCATCTTGTGGAGCACCAAAAAAATTGCAAGACACTTTCGTCTTGCGAGTTTTTCGTTGCCCGAGGCATTCGTCTTGCGATGTACCACTGTAGTTTCACTATAAGCATGATTACATTTGTATCTAATCCATGATTTTAGAGTTTCTGCAGTTTACATTTCATCTGTTTTAAATTGTGATGCTAAACTGTGAATGCCAAAACTCTAGATATTTTATGGCAATATTTCTTAAATGTAACACTGTTGAAGTGCTGAGAGACAGTAGTGTTTCTGTGTTCTAATTATGAAAAATTATGAACAGAGTGCTGTGTAGTACAATAATTTATGTCAAACTGTTTTTTTTAAGTATGTGATAATTGAATTTGTTATCAAGAGTTGGTAATGGTCCATCTGTTATTATACGTATTATATCATGTGCTCTGTCTGTTTTCCACTAAAATAAAATAAAAAGAGTATTAGTTTCATGATGCATTTCCTTAGGTTGAAGGCATAAAGCTGGAAAATAGTATGTTTGCTGTGTAATTCTTTTGCACGGAGTTAACTGTGTAGCTCTTATCTCCCCTTCATGCTGGAACAGTTTTCCTTTTTGTTGTCAGTTTTTGTAAAAATTTAATTTAGGCTAATAGCACATTAATTGGAGTACCATTCTCATAGGATTTCCTAGAGTAGTCAACTTTTTAAGTAGTACTATAGAGCCATTAAGTCATATCTTGACAGGGGGACTAAGCCATATGAAATTGTTGTGAAAATGACTTTAATGTACAATTCCCAGGACACATAAGCAATATTTTACTTGCTTATGAACATTTCTCAAACAAATATGCAATGCATACTTGTAAGACGATATGAGCAGCCCTCTCTGAGCCCTTGAGAAAAACTGAGTGTGTGATCACATTAAGAAATAGATCACATTTTAGACTGCTTGTGGAGCAGTTTTTTAAATCTATTTTCAATCCATTTTCCAGCGACCACACAAAGTATAGGGATCAACCCTGATCCATATCCAAACTGGATCTTTCTGGTCTAGATATAGTGCTGCAGCTTTTGGTGACTGGACTGGAGTAATTTCCTAGCAGATGGAGGAGTCACTTTAAGGGAGATCGCTCCCTGCAATGTACTCTTTTTGGTGCTCCTTTCCTGCTGTCTGATCGCACCAGAGACTGAGGGGTAAAATAAATAAAAAAGTAACATAATTTTAACACTAGATTCATCGACCAAGAACATATGTCCTCTATTTAAAATGGCTCTATTGCTTTTATTGTAGACAATATTTAGCCTCAAGAAATATCTCCACAGATGGTCTACCTGGGATGCTTGTGAGACCCAGGAGCGCTTATGGCAGTGGGACCCTACTAACGTGTCCTGCTCATTCTGTGAGTTTAGGAAACATAGAAAAAAGATACCTATGTCCTAATAAAAAGAGGGAGAGTGGTGAAAAGTGGAAGAAGATAACAAAACGAACCACTGGGTAAACAGATGTCAGGAAATATCATTCCAGGTCATAGAATATTATGTTAGGTAAAGGTTGGGTCCACCTTTGGTGGCCCAACCTCTGAAGTCCACTTGTTCCGTGCAACATCTGTAAAGAAAATCTGATATACATACAGTTATATATTTATAAGTCTCTATACTTTCTGGAGCCCTGGATGGTCAGGGTTCCTAATGACTTGAAAGCCATTAGGCTAACCTTTGCAGATACAATATAGCTATATAGGCATGGTATACAACCAGGGTGGACAACTGTGTTTATCTGTTTAGATTGACTATTTTAACAATTGCCATATTTTGGAAACAAAGGCCCAGTGAGGCACTCCATGACAGTCCTTTTACCAGTTACTTTAGAAGTTTACATGCGTAACATGATTTGGTCAAAATTGAGGAGAATTGAGTTAACGGGTTTGGATTACATGAAAGCCTTTCCTTCCCCTGGTACTTTGAATATTAAGTTAGAGTACTTATAGACAATAGCTGCAGTGTAATCCTGAAACATGTCTGCTTAGAATGTCCAGTGGGTCTTATTTCTGGAAAAATGGGTACAAGATGGCAACATGTATAGAACGACATAGCTTTGGTAGTACTGTACTAGATATTTGGATGAATGTTTTGGGTTTATGTTGCACTCATCCTCTACCATCTCCATACTATTCCTTTTACTTGCACTGTGTTATGTTAGAAGTTGTATACCTTGCGAACTCACAATTCCTTGACCTTGTTAATTCAAGTGAGAAATAAACATATACACTTAAAACTAGTCATCAGAGTTTAATTATGTTCATATAATTTGTTTTCCATATCTCTGACAAGACACATAGTATGCTTTGATGTCATTTGTTGGGAATACTTCACAAAGTTAAGCTATTAGCAAACTTGGTGTGTCGTGTTTTATAAAGCAGTGTTTTAAATTGGTTTTCATTACTAACAAGTTTTGACCTTTCACTGGCAATTAACTTATAAATGTTTTTTTTCAACTCAAATCGGCCTCTGTTGGGCAGCACAGACATGTCTGTCTTCTTTTTAGTGACCAACAGTTTTTCTTTTGGTGATTATACAAAATTTTAAATTGATAATTACTTAATAGATTTTCCAACAGCTAAAAGTAATATATTTTAATAGTCAATGTACTGTGGCTAACTGTTGTTCAAATTGATGTAACTATGCCATACAGTGGATCCATGCCCGCCAGTGCAATACTTTCACACACTGTGGTGGGTGGCTCAGAATTAATGGCATGCTGCTTGGGAAGCTTTAATTTGATCCTCCCAATTCTTGTGATCCTCCCAATTCTTGTGATCCTGCTCAAGTTCATTGTGGTGAAGGAAGGAGGTTGCTTCAGGTCACTGAAGTAGCTCAGTGATCTGAAGCAAAAAGCCTCTCCTTTGCAGAACACAAGTAGTGATTTCAGCTGCTTTAGGGCCACTGCAGGATGAGGGGTAAAACGATTGCTGTTCCCCCTTACCCATGTAGAATTAGAGACACTCGCTGGTTTGGGATCACTGAAAGGCGATTCCATTTAATGGAGGAGAGGTTTTACAGGCAGACCATTGGAGGCTGCTCAGAAAGGCACCTGTGACTCATGGCCTGCACATTGTCCACCCCAGTCTAAGTTTCTCTTTAAAAAAAAAAAAAATCCCTTACTGCATGTTTCAGATGAAATTTTTTTAGCCAAAAAGCTAATCAATGCAAAGTCTAATCAGGAAGTACATTATATGTCATGCTGTAGAATTGTATCCATTTATAATGGGTAATAGAGATCATTAGATTTGTGGAGTTTTGATTAAAGATGTGGCTTGGAAGTTCCATCAGGCCTTACAGTAAAACTCAAAGACAATTTGCACTTAATCATACAGAAAAATTAGGTGAATGGCTCAAGATTGCTTTTAATACTTAACAGAGAGTTTAATTTTTAATCTGCTGTGTCTAAAGATTTATATCAAGTTAGCAGCGTTTAATCTAGAAAAAGATGTGATTTCCATTGTGGAAATCTAGCAAACTGTATTGAAATATGATCACACTTTAAAATGTTGTTACGTTAATTTTACTAGGTACTACCAGTTTGGCATTAGCAAAATCAGTTTGTTGTTTCATTGTGCTTCCCATATTTTTTAAAAAAATACTATATTAAATTGAAAAAAGGAAAATGTCTTCGAGAAATAATACAGCAGAAAATAACATTCATGTGTCAGAAAAAAGGACCACATCTGTCAAACACCATGCATATTTTTTTCTGTCATTTTTTCCAAATATTACACCAGTGCCGCTGGCTAAGAACGGGACACAAATGAAAATAAGTCTTATATCTTGCCTTCAGGGTTATGAATGAAAAGTCGAAAGAGATAATGAAAGTGGTTAAAGGAAATGGTAGGGGAGATAGTTTGACAGTGCCAGAACAGAGAGGTGTTTACAGCCCCATGTGGCCATGCTGATTTCTGCTTGCTTGCATTCCTGTCAGTATGAAGGTGGCGCAACTACTCCATGGCTCTCAGACCTCTACCCAGTGACAAGGATGGATGTCCTTTCCTTGCTTTTGCTCTTTTAAGACAACTGACAGCTGGAGCAAAAAAAAAAGTCCTGGTGCAGAAAATGTGCTAGTTCTCTGCAGATTCCTTGTGTTGAAGCTTATGGATAGTTCATGGCCAATTATGGGAAGAACGGCATGTAACCACATAGTAACTCTTGGTGCTTTGACTAATGATCTTCCATGGACAATAAGCGATGAGCTAGTAGTAATCAGATTTGTTTGATACTAATTGTGTGGATGATTGTTGAGAGACCCTGTGGCTCTCCTTATGTTGCTGAACTTCAGTTCATATCAGCCCTAGTCAGCCTGGCCACTGATGAGACATGATGGGAGTGGGAGTTCTTGGTTTTCTTCCTTTTGGTTCATAATCTTTGTTATCCTGGTTTGCCAATTAAGTTTGCTTTCAAACATTATTCACAAGTTTTGAGTAGTGTTTACCATCCATTGTGTCTTGCTTGTTTTCTCTGTGTTGTATCTTTATCAATAGACAACATTTTTAGTAATTTGTGTCTTTTCATACAGTTGTTTAAATATGATTATTTCCTTTTTTAAAATATATTTTTAAATGTGGGAGCACAGTGAAACGACAGCAAAAAGAGACAGGCTGTATGATCATCACTTACCAGCACTGCTATCTTTCTAGTTAGTAATAGCCAGTTTGAAATACTGCAAATGTACAATGGAATCCCAAACAAAAATGAGACTGAATTTTTGCAAGCCTTGCCCTTATTCTTCTTGTCTCATGCCAGAAAACAGGGTGACAGTGTTAGGACTGGCGAGTAATAGGATTGGCTGACCCAGTGTACTTATCATCTTATCTGTTCAAGCACTTTTAAATTCTTTGCTCTTTAATGTTATGGTTTTATGTTAGTAGTTTCTCTAGCTTTTTCAGCTCGGTTCACATCTGTCTTCATGTCACAGTCTTAGATGAGATAACAGAGAACTGATGGATTTTATAACAGAAGTCAGTGTAAAACTGTATAATGTTTGACTCATTGCTCCTCTCTGGATACAGTATTGGTTGGTAAAGGCAAGTAGACTCCTGTAATCTAGTGATCCTGTTGAGTCAAGAACATAAACAAGATGGTTTTTCATAATAATTTGTAACTTCTTGCCAATATACTGGTGCCTTTCTCCTACCTTATTTTGTTTTACCCTTCTTTTGCAGATTATTGTTCTGTGGTAACTGTTGTGGACCAATCCAGTGCCAAATTTATATGCACACTTTTTAATACAAACAGAGATGCTCTTCCACGAATCTACAGAAATGGTGACATTGTTCGATTCCACAGGATAAAGGTAATTGCTGTGCATTTGCTTTTGATAGTGTAGATGAAGCTGTGCTGTAGTACACAAAATGAGCACAGCAGGTCATTCTTACTGAGATGGAACTCAATTGTGGATATAATGTTACAGTTCTTGGTTAGCTCTCTCTTTCCCAACCCATCAGTGCAGTTTCCATAGCTTTGGCAAGTTAGTAGGCTGAATATCTCATTAGAAAAACCTATACAGACAGTTGTATCACATTTCAAGATTGTGGGCTTTTTAATTTTTATATGATCTATTGCTGATCGTTTTTCAAAGAACAAATATTTCTGACTGCATTCCCATCAGCTCTACCTCCATGGTAGGTGGAGCTGATGGGAATTGTAGACGAACACGTCTGGAGGGCCAAAATTTCCCCATCCCTGTTCCAGATATTTCCCCCCCACAAAAATGTTTACCGACTTGAAGAGGTAGAAACATTTGCAACATTGGTTAGGAGTAGAGTTGGGGATGAATTTTAAAAATGATGATTCATTTTGATTTGTAATTCGTCAGGGTTAACGAATCAATGAATATGAATTTATGAATATTCTTCAATGAATTGATTCATTGATTCATCTTCGCTTTAAAAGGCTATAAAGCTGGCCCCCAAGCACCTAGAGATACCAAATTTGCAGGGAAGCTTCATCGAATGCTTTTCGACAAGTCCAGAAAGTTTGGTGAACATTCAGTAACGGACCCCTGAGCTATATAGTCACAAGGAGGACACCCCCAGGAAAGCTCCCCCCAGGCACTTAGAGAATCTGGAATCACACTGAGTCTTCCTATGTCTTTCCCCAACATGCCTGCCAAGTTTGGTGAAGATTGGATATCGGACATCCAAGTTATTCATCCACAAATTGGGTCCCCCCCAGGATAGTTTACCACACAGCTCAGAAACCCATGGCATTGAGGGAGTTATATTTGGCACCAGCAGAATGAGAGATTTTTGGCACTTAGATAGCTTGGTTTGTCTCTGGCAGGCACACAGAGGCATGAGGCATTGAGTTTGTCTTCAGCAACATCACATTTGTCAGTGAAGCTCTTAGCAGCAAAGTAGACCATGGCCCCATCAGACACTGAGGTAATTGGCAGCAGCAAAGCAGGCTTTTTGGCCCCATCAGGCACAGAGGCACATGGCAGCAAAGTAGACCATGGCCCAATCGAGCACTGAGGCAAAAGGCAGCAATTTAAACTGTGGCCCATCGGGCACTGAGATAGGTAAAGGTAAAGGTTCCCCTTGACATTTAGTCCAGTCGTGTCCGACTGTAGGGTGTGGTGCTCTTCCCATTTCCAAGCCATAGAGCCAGCGTGAGATAGTTGGCAGCACAGTAGGCTTTTTGGCCCATCAGGCACAGAGGCAAAAGGCAACAAATTAGACTGCAGCCCATCGGGCACTGAGATAGTTGACAGCAAAGTAAGTTTTCTGGCCCATCGGGCACCGAGGCGAAAGGCAACAAATTTGACTGTGGCCCATCGAGCACTGAGATAGTTGGCAGCAAAGTAGGCTTTTTGGCCCATTGGGCACTGAGGCGAAAGGCAGCAAATTAGACTGTGGCCCATCGGGCACTGAGGCATTTGGTAGCAATGTAGGCTCCTTGACCCCATCAGGTACTGAGGCACATGGCAACAAAATAGGCTTTTTGGCCCCCATCAGGCACTGAGGCGCAAGGCAGTAAAGCAAGCTTTTTGGTCTCATTGGGCACTGAGGTAGTTGGCAGCAAACACTGAGGCGAAAGGCAGCAAATTAGACTGTGGCCCATCGGGCACTGAGGCATTTGGTAGCAATGTAGGCTCCTTGACCCCATCAGGTACTGAGGCACATGGCAACAAAATAGGCTTTTTGGCCCCCATCAGGCACTGAGGCGCAAGGCAGTAAAGCAAGCTTTTTGGTCTCATTGGGCACTGAGGTAGTTGGCAGCAAAGTAGACCATGGTGCTGCGGGTTAAACCGCTGGGCCACTGGGCTTGTCAGTTGGAATCCGTGTGATGGGGTGAGCTCCCATTGCTCATCCCACCTTCTGCCAACCTACTAAGACAGTAGAGACACACACAACAAAACCACTCAGGAATTAAATTTTGGGGACTGAGGTAGTTGGTAGCAAAGCAGGCAGGAAAGCATGTATAGGCATCGGGCACTGAGGCAATTGGCAGCAAAGTAGGCTTTGCTCATTGGGTGTATAGTGGCAGAAATCTTCAGCATTGATGAGCAAGAGAGTGACATTTGAAACACAAGCCTCCAAAAAGAATTAATTGCAAAGGAACAGTTTCCCCCATCCTCCACATGGCCATCAGCCCCATGCTGCTGAAGGCACTTAACCACACACACTATTGTATCCTGCAGCAAAGTGAAGTGGTGTTAGGAAATCTTTTGTCTTTTCATTAATGTGGGCTTTTTTTCTAGAATCCGTTCACAGACTAGCTTTCTTTTGGGATATGGAAATGCAGGAGCACAATTCAAAGCAGTTTCATGAGTTTGGAGAGGTTTGAAGTTCACCATCTCAAGAGAAAGGTGTATTTTCACAGGAGCCACATCCAGTTCCTTAGCAGCCTGTAGCACTGAGTGACCTTTAAGTTTATATGCCCATTGCTCTTTTAACTGAGGTGTTGGAGCCCAATCAATTGTACTTTTATAATGGTAATGCAACAATATAGGGTCAGTACCATAACTTGGCAAGAGAGAATATACTTTCCCTCTGTTCTTAGCATCAACTTCATACAAAGGAGTGAATTGCCACAGATCCGTGACATTTACCCATGCAGCCACAGCTTTACTAGAAGCTTTGTTACCATTTTTCTTACGGGCTCTCTCCTGTCTTCCCACACTTTTATTCCAATATTTATCTCAGAAAATAGAGGATCTCTAATCTCACTGATGGAATCAACATATTCATACACCTGTAATACATTTTTGGGATCTTTGTCCTTGACCAGATAACACAATTCCCCTGGCAACACTGAATAAAATTGTTCTAAACCAGTTACATATTTCATTTGATCTAGAGAAATGACATTCTCACGTTCCATCTATTTGTCCAAACATTGAATCAATTTAGCCTCCACTTGGGCATAAGATTCTTCAGGCTTTTTGGTAAGGGAACGAAATTTTCTTCTAAGATATTCTGCATTTATGCCAAATATTATTTTTCTATATGCCTCAAAATCTCTAGTTTGCTCCAGAGGCATCTGAGAATAAAGCTCCGCTAAATCGCCACTTATTTGCAATCTCAAAACTATCATCCTTAATCTCAAAATCCCAGCATGTTCTCTCAAATGAAATCAAGAAAGATTCAGGTCAATCTTCTTGCCTATATTGGGGAAATTTCTTTAGCTTGATTTACTATTTTTCTATATGCCTTAAAATCTCTAGTTTGCTCCAGAGGCATCTGAGAATAAAGCTCCGCTAAATCGCCACTTATTTGCAATCTCAAAACTATCATCCTTAATCTCAAAATCCCAGCATGTTCTCTCAAATGAAATCAAGAAAGATTCAGGTCAATCTTCTTGCCTATATTGGGGAAATTTCTTTAGCTTGATTTTTGAGAGGTTTCCCTCACTAGAATTGTTGTTGTTGTTGTTGTTATGAACAGCTAATTCCATTTTTTTCATCTCTATTTCAAACTCCATTTGTCTGGCCTCAGCTCTCTCCTTGAGCTCTAGTTCCCTAGCTCTTTCTTCAGCCCAGCAGTTGCTCCAAGAGTGCCCACGTCTCCCAGGTGCCTGCATCCCACTCGGGCTTGACGTGGCTGGCCAGGCCAAGGGCATCACACACCACAAAGTGTCATTTGTGAGCCATGCATACGATGTCCTCAAAGCCCATTATGCCACCCAGCATCCCCCGATTAATGCCCTTGATCGGTCCGTGGAGGCTGTTGTGGCCTTCTCAGGCCAAGTTCTGAAGGAGTCCTTCTGCTATTGATTCCAGTCTCCTCATTGGGCCAAGTTCTGACCACCACCTGCTTCCTGAGTCAAGTCAGCTCATTGGGCCAAGTTCTAGCAAGTCCTGCCTGATGAGGCAACTTAATTCAGCAGGCAGGAGTTGGTCAGAACTTGGCCCAATGAGCCAACTTGACTCAGCAGGTAGGAGTTGGTCCAAAGGGGTGACTGGACTCAACAGCACACAGGACTTATACAGAACCTGGCCCGATGAGGCGAATTGACTCAACAGCAGGCAGGACTTATACAGAACTTGGCCCAATAAGGCGACTAGAATTGGCAGCTGGACTTCTGACTGAGGGGCAGGTTTACAGGCCGGCACGCAAGTAGGCAAGTCTTTTTTTTTTCAAGAGGACTGGCAGCTGGGCAGGGAGGTGGGTAGGCAGAGATGTGGGCTCAGGCAGGCAGTGTGTTAAGGGAAAGACTGTCATTGGAATCCTACCTCTTTGGGTTCAGCGAGGGGAAGCCCAACAAGGGAAGGTTCACCTTGATGAAAGACAGTCTGCAATAATTGGCTCCAAACCTTCAGGGCTACCCTTTTGGAAGCAGGCGCCTCCTTCTGCCTCCTCACATCTCCCTCTGGAGCTGCTCTCTTCCCTCCCCCAGATGGCACTGACAAAGTGCCTTCCCTGGACAGGAGCCTTGGGTGGTGCCTCTCCAGATGTTAGCGGAGGGTGGTGGAGTAGAGATGCCGGGAGACTGACCCCCTCCAGACCACCACAAGGCAGGCATTGCAGCATGCCAGCCATGGGTCATTACTGACAGCCGTGAAATGATCCCACATGCCCCCTCTGCCATGTTTGCATGGCGATGACGCACAGAACCCTGTATCCCAGGGGTGCTGCTGGTCAGGGAGGAGGGAAGAGATAACTCTGTGGACAGGGGTGGGTGTGGGTTGTGAAGCCTGTCCTGCCTTTACTGGTTCCAGATCAGACTGGGGATCTTTGGAAACCAGTAACTCCTCAGAATCCTCTAGGAAGAGGAGTGGCAATTCTTTTGACACCTCTGGAAGCTTTACTTCCATGCCTGCCTCCAAGGCCGCCAGAGGAGGAATGGTGT